TTTAGTTATTAAAATAAATAATTTTGATTTTTCTTATTTCAGTCTTTAAATTTTCCAACGCGTGAAACTCGTTTCTTCGAAATTACTGCTTTATGCTATTGAAGTAGAAATCATACACTGAAGTCGGGCCTAAAAGGTTATTCTTGTGCTTTTAGTCAATATTTTTAATGCTTAAATCAAGAATCCCTCCTGAAAGTCACTTTTCTATCTCGTGCATAGGTTTACCTAATTATGTTAACAATTTGCTTGTTTCTACACAGATATTGTCGTTTTCCCTGCTCTACTCGTATTTGTCGGTCGGCTCTTTTGTTGTAGTCAGTGTGTGCATCGTCTTTCGGCCTTTTGACTGCGTCCTGAAAATCAATGTCTCCAGTCAGTCACCTTCGCTGTCGAGGCGGACCATCTCTGTGTTTTGTCCAGCTATATTTGTGAACAAATACCGGAGGAATTTATGCAAACGCTGACGTTAATTTACGCTCTCTTACTACTGTTTTTGATATTCATTGTTCAGGGTTAAATGCTTACATTTGGGGAACTGCGCGAACCGTTTAGCCGAGCGTCGGACGTTTTCGACGACGAAGATTTCGAAGAGCCGGTTGAGTTTCCATACGTTTTGACCAAGACTATGACCTCCGACTCAGATGACCTTCAGAAATCCGTGAGATGCCAAACGTTAGTTGTCGCCTACGGATTGCACTCATTGAGTAAATTTCGGCATTGTCATGATTCTTCAAAACTTTGTATAATTTGAAATAAATTTTAGATTTCATGAACGCGTATGTCCTAGGGGACACATGGCATTTGATTGCGACAGTTACTGTTCGTCGCAAGGTTTTGTCAGGCGATTCTGAAACCGTTGTACCCCCGCTTGCTGAGCTAACTTTCCATGCGAACAAAGATAAAGATGGTGTACTCGTCTGTTTGTGTCCTGACTTCTTTGACGTTCAGGCGTCTGTGGCCATTTCAGATATGGTAGATCGTTCGATTGTTTTAAACCCGGGTTGCTTAATGACATTGGATGACCGATAAATTCATATTTTAATACTTTGTTTAATAGAGCCGATTAATAACCTACAGCGTTATGGCGTTTTGCACAAAAGGGCGTAATAACGGCTTTGTAATATTTCTTGACTTTCAATTTGATTAGTGATGATGGAGCGATTAACACTATTACTAGTAATGGTAATACTAATGTTAGTGCGATTGCATTGGAACCGTCTGCTTTTCGTATGCCCAAGTATACCAAATAACGAATGACTGATCTTGGAGTAGTCATAGCCTGTAGTTGTTAGTGCCATTTATAAAATCATCAGTTGTGGTAGTTCGATTTATGTTACGTTTGCTTAGTGTAATAGCTACTAAATACTGTTGTGAGTAGTTTTTTACCTTCTGAGTACAGCTGATAGTAACGTTTCGTACTGGTTATGCAAGTGGTACTGGCACTACTAGCAGCGCTTCTGATGATTTTGCTCCTGAGGTTTTATAGCGCCGATAATGTTAGTGATTGTATTATACGGAAGTGTTGCTGATATTAGATAACGCCAAACTCCTCCAAGAGCAGATTTCACCTCGTATTGCACCGCCCCATTGCTTCTAGTTGTCTGGAGGGAGATGGGCATTTAAGCAGGCAATGACTCCATAATATTTGGCCACCTGCAGTTCCTTGAGATCTGGTCTTGGAGGACTTATGCGTTATCTGCAATATTCCACCATAAGAACATATTTTGATGTTTATGCAGTGTTACTAACATTCTTAGTAAAGGTCACCCCAGTTGGTGTCGTTGTTCGTAGTACTGTTGAAATAATCGTATGTGCTTTTCAAGTAGAGCGCTAATCACATGTCGAACAAGACATGTACGTTTCTGGAATTTTTTGCATTTTCGTAATACCGGTATGCTTCAGGTTTTCTCCGTACCCGAAACGTGTCCATCATCGGTAATCGTTCTACTTTCTAAGCATGAGAGTTGCATAACGAAAGCAGAAGAGCAGGACGTTGTCAGTGATGTGCCTGCCAGACTTCAGTACTTGCCGGACAGCTGGTGGTCAGAAGCAGTTCCCAAAGAGTGGCAGCGTTTGCGCTTAACTTTTTTGGAAAATGTCGGCGCCGCAGGTAAGGCATCCTACAACTCCCTTCTACAAATTGAGAGGAGGAAAGTTTCCTTGCATATCCACCAAATATCGTAAGTGCTTTAGGAGATTGTAAATTTCTTCAGATCAGTTCACAGTCTGTTTCTATTTTTCATCCAGAGTGAGCTCGCGTTTGTCTTAACGTGTGAAATCAAACGGGCTGTCTTAGAAACCAAACAGTTTTCCGGCGGATCATGCCAACTCATGTCAACCTACTGTGGAATGAGATTGAAGATCTGGGTCATAATGTGAACCTTTGTGATGCAGGTGAGGTTTCTGCTGTTCGATTAGATTGGTCAGTCGGTAGAGCGTCAGACTCAAAACCGAGAGGTCTAGATTCGAGCCCTGGTTTAGGTCGCTCGCCTTTATTCCCGCCGAGGTTGATGAA